TGAAAATGACATTGCCGGCTGAGGATAAATTGGTCAGGATTCTTTAGCCATCAGCCTATCTTATATGTGTATGTGTGCTGTTAAAGCATCCTAATCCACGATGCTCAACTTAATGTTTGCTTTCTTTTTCACAAAAATTTTCAGAAACTTATGGTTACTCTCCATAGGCGTCATCAGACTAGATTGGTGAGTTACTATATTTCGTTTGACTTTCTTAGTGAACGTATTTCGTGGAACCTTGTAGTATTAATAGTTGTTATTATCATTGGGGCAACGGCAGTTGTTCTGGATAGCGCAATTGGTCTGGGCAAGTTTGCAAGTGCTATGCTCTGGTCAGGAGGATAACCTTGGATGTTTGATATATGGATGCTGACAAAGGACTTGTTGGACGATATTTCACCATTTGTACTCACTGATGATTTCTTTGTACTTGATGACTGCTTGATTTCGAATTCCAAGTACATTACGTCCAGAAGCGCCCATCTGGTTCTACCCACGTTAAATTGCACTATTTTGGAAATTCTTAGCTGACGAAATAATCCGAATACTTCTAATTATCATAGATATTTTTCGAACGATTTCATCACCCATCACCTTCAACAGAATCATATTTCTTTTGCCAGGTCATTCTTTTGATATCTGCCCCAACATCTTGATAATGAGCTTCGTGAAAGCCTTGAGATTGGTCACGGCAAGTATGTTACGGAGAAATGGGATTGTAGGATGACACTGTTGATTTGATCCAATTAGTTTAGTACTAGTGAATTTTAATAAACAACTGGTGAACATACAATCCAGATACAAATCCATCAGGTCCTCATGGAGTACATTAAGTAATATTTAATAATCTGGATTAACCTACCAAGTCTCTAATGTACAAAAACACTTTGGAAGCATAGCCTAGATAGAAGTAATTATGAACGTTGTAATCACCAGTCAATAGCATCTGAGAAAATCTTCATTTTATGTGCTCTTCGACATCTTGAAGAAATGAACTGCGTAGAGAAGCCAGGGCTATGAGTGATTTATAAAATACTCTACATGACTAAAGACACGAATTACCTCCACGCTGAAAAACAAAACATCCTGAGAAATTATTGTGGAAGATAAATTTCTAGATCTCTGACGGATTTGAATATATGGAGCATGACCCTATCACCAACAATGTCAGATCTATCATCATAAAACAGCTAGAGGTTGTTGTGGAAATGTTTCCCATCACTAATGTCACTGGTAGTTTCACAGGAGACCATCATGCTTTGTTCTTGTCCGTTTGTAAAGTGTGGTCCATAATCGAAAGCACCAATGATAACATGAAACGCCCACTACTATATTAACTACCCTTGACCTGGTATGACCATGCCTTGCTTATTCACTAATCACAATTTCATTTTTAACATAAACAATATTCGGTTTGTTGACTAATTTTTCCTATCCTCTAGTTACTGTTCGGTATGTTGTTCATGTCTCCATTTTCCACGTTCAGTAGACTGTATTGACCATTTATTTTGTATACTAATTGTGTTGATTTGCGTTTTAGAAACAGATAAAGTTTATCAGGTCAAATAGTTTATTTGTTGTGACTTCGGCAAAACTAAGATTCTGTGTTCGACAGCCAGGAGAATTGTTTAGAATTATATCTGTTGGAAATTACTTCTCACACCGCTGGTAAGCTGTCTTTTATTACGTAATTAGTATATTGGAGATAGAAAACCATATTTCACCCGTACCGTCATCATAAATAAGTTGTTACTAGAATAAAAGGGCCAACCCAAGCTCAGCAAACTTAAAAATTTTTTATCGCACAACCACTTTATGGCTCTGCACTACATGGAGAGTGCTCTACTATTGTCAATTCTCAAATGTTAACTGTAGTATCTATGTTATACATTGAAAACCAACACTACCTTTAAACGACCAAGATTTCTATTCACTGTATTTAGTCGATCCCCACTACCAAAAATAACACTTAGAATGCTTTAGTCCTGCTGGATAGCATTGGAGTAGCATGTAATTAGAATGAGAACCAATCAGATGAGTTATTCATTTTTGAAAAGCAGGTAAGATTATAAGCATTGTAGTTGGCAAACAAACTTAGTGAAAATAATGAATGTTCTGACATCTGTTTTATATTAAAAAGACTGACAAATAAAATAGAATAGTGTATAATCCATTAGAACTGTGTTTTTCATCGTCATACAGAATTTTTAATTCGATTACACGTCAACAGCATTAGAAAAGCTGAGTTCAATTTTCACAAAACTACTTTAAACGTCGCTAAAATAACAACCTTGCGAACTAGTGTAACTTTGCGCGTTTTCAAACTTTGCACTAGGTAGCGTTGGCTTGCTTTTCATATTGATAAGCAATTGTGTCAGTTATTTTTATAATTTTACATGCCTTTATGTAACTGCGAAACTCTGGCTCATGAGTAATAAGTAGTTGAGTGACGTCGGAAACATTAAAATGAACAGGAAAGTAGTGGTCATAATCAGGTGGGTAGACGTTAGTTACTTTTAATTAATGAATTTGAACTGTATCCAACCCTCACATTGTCTAATTCAAAGTCCGTGATAAAATATATTTTTTCCATGTTTTTCTTCATGTATGGATATTTTTATTGTTGATTACTTGATTATGCTGCCATGGCACCAATCATACTACTATTTTTTAAAAGTAATAAGTAATGGTGAAAACAAAAATAACTTAGAAAACTGCTATAACAACAGTCTAGATGCTTTATCAAGTCCTTACTTAAATTGAAATTGACTGACTAGTTAGCTATATCATAAGATTAAAGCCACGTCATCAATGTTGAAGCCTTAAGTTATTCAAATAGAAGATAACTAGTTTGCATATCTTTTCTAAGCATAGTGAAAAAAATTCTTGGAGTTCTCATGGACTCTCCTAGTAATTCGGAGATCGAATCTAAAACTCGACACCAGTCTAACGAGTACCGTACCCACTAGTCTCAATCAGGATATGAGTTTGTGTCACTATCCAAAAATTTCTTATCACTACTCCAAAAATTTCTACGACCTAAGAGCAAATAAGCTTTAAATAGCGACCTAACACTTGCTTTTGCACGCTTATTATCTGCTTTCGAATACTCAATAACCATTTCAGTTCGCAATCAGAATAATAGTAAGTTCGTAGACCTGTGTTAATGTTTTCAGTACATAGTTGCATAAAGTTAGGTTTTTCTATAAGGTATTCACGGGAGAAAGTAATGCCAGTTATTTCGCTGTAGTGTTCCAGACGTTGATTAATAGTTGATAAGTACGGTTCCCCGCCCTAAGTTCCTACGATTACGCTTTTTAACCTTGTCAAGATGGCTTCAGATATGATTGATCCTAGAGGCAGAAAAAAATTGAGATATGTTAGCACTCAGTTCACTTAAGGTGCAAAACAACAACTTAAGGTCACTTTACTTTCTGAAGAAATGTGAAGAAATAGGGTTTGGCGGTTTAATCGCCCTTTCATCAACGAAATTAAAATGTCTAAATCTTGCTAGGAGGAAATCTCTTAGTTTTTTTCTTTTATTTAACTGGCCCTTGGGTTATTCATTTTACTCATTGTTAATTAAAAGATATCTGTAGGGTTGATTATATAACAATTTAGCTTTTACGTTCACGAACTAGTCTACAACTAATGTGTCGACCGATATGTATTGATATATCAGTCTTTTAGGTTAGTGTCATGCCTTATAATGCGGTATGGCAACTTGGACCGATGCATGTATGTGCCTGGTCCTATGTTGCAGCTTGTTAGGCATAAGACACAAGTGAAAGATGTAAAATCGGTCGATGAAGTAGTGAATCTTCATTAACTGAGGTGGACGGGACGCGTACTATTTATGACCAACTGCCTACTTCAGCAGTTGATGTTCACTGGAGTGGGAGAAGGTTGAAAGAAAGCTAATGGTGTTGCAAAACCAAGACATTGAGTCGTTCGATGAAGTCTTTAGATTTCGAGCTGTTAGGTGATAAGGCAAAGATTCATTCACTCTTCATTTCGCTCTAAACCATAATTCCAAGTACTCTTTCAAATACGCCTTATAATTTTGCCTTTTTGAACCACGTCTTCAACGTTCAATCTGTCTCATTATTGTTGGTAGTACATTATTTCTACTCCATTATTATTGTTGCTAATTTTATCTTGTTATGTCGATTTGGTATATCAACTCCGAACGCAAATTTGTGCCAGTCTCTACCTTAATTAAGATTGAATGTTTGTGTGCAAGTGGGTTTCATACAGAACTGTTGGTCAATGAGTACAATACCGGACTTAATGGACTCCTTGTTTTAAACGTAAGTAAAGAACAAAACTGTGAATATTCTAATCACAATTTGACACCTGTATGAAATAAATACATGTGAAATTTTAAGATGTATAATTCACAAAACCATTCTTACTCATCAATTAACATGTTTAAACAGTATTTGAGATGTTATCTTTATCCATTCGAATAGTTAAGATAATTCTGATTCAGTTAGATGAAAAACTCCAGAAATACAAAATTAGGTCGTTTAAAGAAGAAAAATAGTTTTAATGTTTGAGCAGTGATTAGCTATAAAACCTAAAATTGATAAAATATCAAATTTTAATATCGAACCTTTTTCAATACCTTATAGTTTTGAGATGTTATTCCTGTTTCTTATATATAAACTGATAATAATGATCTGTGGTTATTAAACTTGGAGTTTTGGTCAGTGATCGACCTGAATAGTTTTCAAAAAAGTATAAAATAGGGACATTTTCATCTTTGTTTTAAATAGTTAAATAATTTTTATGTTTTCCGTTTTTATTTATATTTCTAGTAGGATTTACTTTTTATCCTGATCAATGTGAAGGCGTACATCAAGCTACAAAGCTTCCTTCATTATCATCTTCCTAATTAGAATATTAATGTTTCTAAAGAAGTTTTCATTTCTATCACTTAATGTTTCAAAGTGAAATCTCCGTTGAAAATTAATTTGTTTTAAACAACTGGTCTATTCATGACCTCAGTTATTCAACCATCAACACAATCCTCGTCTTTATTATCGTTATCATTTGAACCACCTGCCCCAAATAAAAAAGTTTTACCATTATTGTCACCACAACAAATACACACTTCAAGAAATGCTCGGCATGTTATAAATTGTAACCATTTATGCTACAAATCTTCAGCCGATGGAAACTTATTGAATAATATGACACATCCACATGTAGTTAAACATCATTTCTCTTGTAAAACAGAGGCTACTCCGAGTAATATTCCGAAGACATTACTTTTATCTCCACCGCTACCAACACGTCGTAGACCCGGAGATTTACTAACATCACATCGTTGTTCAAAAGGTCCAACAAGTCGATCATTATCTTCGGATCATTGTGAACGCAGTAAGTTACGCAAAACATAACAAATATTTATTAACAGGGTCAGACCTTTTTTATTTATAAATACTATCTAATATTTAGATTTGTAGTGAGATAATGGTTATTTAACTATTAACCAATAAAAACTACTAATTATATATGTTATAACCCGACCGTTGTTGCTATCTTGACGTGGTGGTCGGGCTTGCCTGTCGTGATGAAGCAACTGAGCTATAATGACTGGAGCAACCGTTTCTCAAGGTCCTACTATGCCAGACAGGTCAGTTGAATAGCGGTAAGACTAGAAGCAACAAAACCAAGGTCCGAAGGCGAAGTCGTACTGCTGACTGTGCAGAGGTGTGACAGCAGTTAGGTGTTTCCTTCAGACAACCAGCATAACAGCGATGCTGCCTTCCCACAAGGAGGGGTGGGGTTAGAAAAGGTCGACCCTAAAAATGCACACCTCGCCTTATCCCACGGATATCCGTCTCCGGCGGTAAGGTCTCAACAAGTACGGAACTAACACAAAAATTACTCATAAAAAGGTCGTGTGTGACCGACCTCAAGCAGCTGTCCCTTGGGCACTGCCGTCACGCTCTCAGGTCACTATGACCACCTCTAATCCAATTTCCTTTTCAGGTACCTCTAGAAGAACCCTTCCACGGTGTGGGCAACAGGGAAGTGATAACCGCTTTCATACCTCTAACAGCACTCAAGACCACTGTATTCACACTCAACCTCCCTCTTCAATTCCTATTATTCCGCCTCCTACATCGACTTTCAAATCTAAGCTTCCTCTTTTGGTTTCCTCCTCAAGTGTCACCATGGCCAACGATTCTAGTGCGCAAAACACTGTCCCATGTCTACTGAAACCTCGCTCCAAACTACACATTGTAGCCTTCAACGTACGCACACTATGTCAAATCGGTCAGCCGGCCTCCTTGGCTAAAACCCTAGAATCTCGTACCATTGACGTATGCTGTGTCTCTGAAACACGCATACAGGATCCTAGTGTGGTCATTCACTTGACCTCACCTCGGCAAAACGTAGAGCCGACGAGATACACCCTCCGTGTATCTGGCGACCCGGTGGCTAGTTCTCGTGGACTGGCAGGTGTAGGCATAGCACTAAGCATGAGGGCCGAACAAGCGCTATTAGAGTGGATCCCCGTTAACAGTCTTCTATGTGCTGTTCGGCTAAACGGCTCCATAAGAACTCGGGAGGATAGGGACACACGTCGTTGCGTTTTCGTCGTTTCTGCCTACGTTCCCACTGACTGCAGCCCGGATGAAGTGAAAGATGACTTTTACGGAAAGCTTTCTGAACTTCTTCAAAACGCTAAACGGTCAGACATAGTACTCGTAGCAGGTGACTTTAATGCCCAGGTAGGTAGCTGAAACGAAACAGAAAGACATTTGGGTGGGTATTTTAGTATTCCGGCACAGAGAACAGACAATGGTGATCATCTGCTGCAACTGTGCTTAGACAACCGTTTAATTTTAGCAAACACAAATTTTAAGCATAAGGAGAGACACCGTCTAACATGGCGACCCCCTGCAGCAAATCAACGATGGGCTCAAATAGACCATATTGGCACCAGTCATCGTTGAAGAGGGTCGATAGAAGATTGTCGCTCATTCTGGAGTATCTGTTTGGACTCCGACCATGCCCTAATACGAGCACGCATCTACTTGCGCCTCACTGGACGCCAAAAAGCCATATTAAAAAGACCCATTAGAATTGAACTGAGTAACGAGAAAACCAAAAGTAGTTTCCAAGAACAACTGAGGTCACACTTAGGTAGTTCTGAAAACGAGGCTGACCCAGATGTTCAGTCAGTCAGTCAGTCAGTCAGCTGCAACGTAGGACCAGGCACGTATATGCATCGGTCCAAGTTGCCATACCGCATTAGCACAACAAGATGAACACCGGATTCATAGAAGTAGTTAATTCAGTGGTGGTAATATATAGAAGAAAGATTGTGTATGACCCAGATGTTGCTTGGAAAGATATACAATCAGCTGTGGAAACAGCAGTGACATGTATTAGTGATTTAAACCAAAGAGTTACAAAGAACCAATGGATTTCTTCAAGGTCTATTGCATTGATGGATTCTCGTAAACTCATCCCATCAGGTTCTGAATACGATGAAGAGCGTAAAGAAATCAGATCTAGGTTAACCAAAAGTCTAAGGAAAGATCGTGAGCAGTGGTGGGCAACAAAAGCAAAAAAGCTGGAAAAGCTGGCGGCTATAGGGAACACAAGACAACTCTAAAGACTAATAAAAAAGACTGGAATTAAAAAGTCAAGTGTAAGTCAGACTATTTCGAAAAAAACGGCACATTGAAGTAGGTCCCCCAACTCTAGCTGAAGTTCAAAAGGCTATGGTTAATCCAAAACGAGGAAGAGCAGCTGGTCCAAATGGATTGGCTCCAGAGGTCTTTAAGGAAGATGGTACAATTTTAGCGACTAGGTTGACTAATATTTTAGTTAAAATCTGGGAGTTGGACATAATCCCCTCTGACTGGTCACATTCACTTATCGTCCCAATATATAAGAATGGGTCAAAATCATCCTGTGACAACCATAGAGGGATTAGTTTAATTAATATAGTATCTAAAATACTAGCCTCGATAATTATCGGACACCCAACTAAGACTCGTGAATTGCAAACACGAGAGAATCAAGCTGCCTTCAGACCTGGTCGTGAATGTATAGACCACATATTCACCGTTCGTCAGGTTCTAGAACACAGGCATACTTATCGGCGTCCGACAATGGTGGTCTTCCTTGACTTAAAAGCAGCATTTGACTCTGTAGACCAAGAGGTTCTGTGGCAGTGTCTGTCATTACAGGGTGTATCTCAGAAGTACATAAACCTTGTGAAGGCTCTTTACTCGAACACTACTAGTCGAGTCAGAGCTTATGGCGAACTGTCATCTGCTTTTGCAACCTCAAGTGGTGTCCGTCAAGACTGTCCACTCTCTCCATTTTTGCTAACCGGTGTTAGAGATGATTGGAAGAAAGTTAGGGGCGGCCAAACCAAAACCTGGCATCAGTGTTTGAAGTCACTAACTTCTGGTCTGAGCCATGTTGGTAGATGCAGACTGCCTGGTTGGGGTCCGGGTGACTATCATAACCAATGGTTGGAGACTCTTGATATCATGGCTCAGGATCGATCACAATGGCGTCGGTGTATACACTCTCTGTCTTCCCTTAAACCGTGAGATTAAAATCACTTCATATCTTTCTTTCTGTACTACCTCCTTATATGCAATCTTTCTTCTATATATTACCACTGAATTAACTACTTCTATGAATCCAGTGTTGATCTTGTTGTGCTAATGGGGTGTGGCAACTTGGACCGATGCATATATGTGCCTGGTCCTACGTTGCAGCTGACTGACTGACTGATATATGTTCTAAATAGTATTTCTAATATTTTCCCTTACCCAAAGATGGAGACAACATAAAATTTAACATTCAAAGTTACCCCGCCTCACGTTATCAGGAGATGGAAATAAGAATAATAATGGTATAAAAATGATGGTACCAAGAATAGTAAAAGATAGAGGTATAGTAATATTTAGAATATGAAAATCTAAAAAAATAACTGATCTGTGCGTTTAACCGATTTTATGCCGTGTAAATTAAGGTCATTTTAAGCTTCGTTTCAGTTACTTTAAACACCCTTGTTAGGTAGCTTGTACCTTTATGTATGGTTTGAACCCAACAGAGAAGAAACCGTTGACGTCGCGAATAGAATTTAAGTAAAACAACATAGCACATTGTAGCAGGAACTGACTAGATGAAAGCAACAAGTACTTCTTTGTTTTCAGCGATTGTCATCTATAACTTCAGTAACGGACTCTCAAATAAAAATTTCATTTGAAACAACTGTAATATGATTCGGAACTTTATATGAAATGTAAAGTGATTTTGTGATTTTTATAATTTAACGACAATAATCATATCTTGAAATTAAAAGATGACCTTGACCCGATCTATAATAACGTAGTATGTTGCCCTCAACATAGATAAATTTAATGAGTTTCACTTAAATTATTATTTTTCTTATTCTAGCATAACGGATTTTGTAACGACACTTAAATTCCTAATCGTTTTGAAATTGTTCTAATACAAGAGTCGGTGTAAATTGAAATTCACCGGATTATCATATTGTTACTTCGCTTAGATTGGGACTCATTCACTGGAATATATTTCACTTCACTATCAAGTTATAAAATTAACAGAACACCGTTAAACTACATCTATGAATTCTATTTCTAATGCTTGAAAACGTTCAGAATAGCGAAAATTTTACGGACGCTACTAAGATGTAGAGGGAAGGGATCATATATTTTTGTTTTTAGCAAAGCAACGATATTTAAAATACCAAATGGCATTACACATTTTTTTGACATTTTTCTAATTACAATCTACTTCGTATGGATTGCTGTCAATGTTTTTTTCATCCTGATGTATTTTCTCCTAATTCCTTCCGTAAGTAAAAGTGACAAATAAATGTGTACCTCGTGTGTTTTGTGTGCGTATGAAAAAGAAAATAAAGTGAAAGAAAATCACTCGATATAAAAAAGTTTGGCACAGTGCCAAAAATTTCCCTTTTGTTGTTTTCTCTGTCCTAAATTAATGGACCAATCAGCTGTGATATAAATACTCTTTATTCATTGGCTAGTCTTGACCACTAGAAATTTTGTTGTTTTCATCTATCAATAAAGTAGGGAAACTATTAAGTACCACAAAAAAATAGATAGATCAGCTGACGTAATGTTTAGTAAATTCGTTTTATTTTTTCTGCCTTCAAAAGGGTTAATGGCATTTACTCGACTTTCTTAAGGATTGATCTTTTTTTTACCTAGTATGATTAATCCATTAAATGAAGACGTTTAAAATAATCTGAAATATTTTGAAAGGCTAAAGTGACAATGTTGACTTACGAGAAATGTATTAATCTCTCTGTTTCTCTGTAAATTCAAAGCATCATTGAACAAAAACATGAGTAA